TGATCAAGGAAAAGATTTGAGTTCGATTTATTTGGTAAACTAAAGTAATGTAACGTATGTAATGTAATGTAAACCGGCTTAAGGTAGATCAGTGTAAAAATTTCAATACTCACTAATATTGCTGATCAAAAACTTTTTTCCATAGCTTAGTATTGTCAAACAATAATTTCTGTTAAGTAGAGGAAAGAGTGAAGATTGTGAGATGCAAGAATGTTTTTCATTTATTGCGCGCAAGCTATTGCGCATGGAGCACCGAATTTCTGTTACAGGTATCAGTAATCAAAAGTCTACAAAATAAAAAAAGAAGCAACAAAATCGGTTCAGTAGTTCCCGAGAAAATCTTGGCACAGACAGACAGACAGACCAATGGCTAATGATGTGTTTTTCGGACTCTGAAACGTATAGATCCGTCGAAAACCACATATCAGAAATTTGACCCGATTGCAATACTTTCCTTACCTAGTATAGGTAGGAAAGTAAAAAAATTCAATCTTGCCGAGATGGCTAAAAAAGTGTTTTTCGGACTCAGGGAGCTCTGAAACGTATAGATTCGTCGAAAACGGTATATCGGAAATTTGACCCGATTGCAATACTTTCCTAACCTAGTATAGGTAGGAAAGTAAAAATGCACCAGGATCACAGGCGGATCTACGGGAGGGAGGGGGGCTTTCGGGCCGAAGCCCTCCCTCCCCTCCTCCCAAAATGGTAAAGTATAATCATGTTTTACAGAAAAAAATATTAAAAACTATCTCTTAAAGTATTCTTGTTCGTTTAATTACATTTAATAGGACTTCAAGAACCACTTAAACACCTTTTCATATAGGTAGTTAATTTCTTTCTTTTTTTTTCAAATTAATTATCGTTATATGTATATGAAAAAAAAATTTCTAGTCACATTCGGGTTTGGTGCCATTTTCTCATAATTTATCATATGTCTATTTTAGGCCAAAGGTCATCAGAAAAACAGTTTTTTTTTTTTATCTCCTGTATGCTTTATTCAACGTTTCAGCATAGACAGGACTGAACATACGTTCATATAGGACTGAATGAATACCCTAATGAAGAACAATAATTTCTTGATACCGTCTGCAAATAGAGAAACGGACAACGACATTCTTTGAAATAAAAGAATGAATTAGGACGAATCATATCGCAATGATAAATTTTAAAAATTTTATGGCGCGGTGCATGTTTTGCAGGTTCTTGAAAATGGCTCCTGAAGCCGAAAAGTTGAATAAAGCATACAGGAGATAAAAAAATATTTAAAAAACTGTGTTTTTTTGGTGATCTTTGGCCTAAAATAGACATATGATAAATTATGAGAAAATGGCACCAAACCCGAATGTGACTAGAAATTTTTTTTTTCACATGATAAATTATGAAAAAAAAATCATTCGGGCTGAAGCCCCTCCAAAATTAAATCCTGGATCCGATCAGGTGATCAGAATAGAACTAATAAACACACTAGAGTCAACATAATTCTGTTTTTCCGCAACCGTATGTTCTGTTACCCAGATCAGGTTAAGAAGAAAAGCAGTATAAATGGTTTTTACTTATACCTAAGCTATAAATCAATACAAATATCGTTTACGCTGTTTTTAAAGTTTCCTTTAAATATTAAAATATTATTATTTAGTAATTATTTTTCTTTTATTTATCTTTATTTTCTGTAAGTATTAATATAAGTCTCTCATTGTAAGTCATTATAACTATGAAGTTCACCCAAGAGAGGAGCAATAAAAGACTCCTTTTTTTTTTTTTTTTTTTTTTTTTTTTTGTCCTCCCCTTCCTCGCCGTTAAGGCTATACGGGGTTTTTCCCGGGCCAGGGGGTGTGGGCGGGGATTTAAAAGACTCCCTTGGCACCGGGACGCGAACTCGTGGTTATTTTTTTATCACTATCTTATATATCAGGTTGCCCGGCAACGGGGCAACGGCGGTGCAGTGCACACGCCTTAGCCCATTCGGCTACCCCGCCCACCAATAAAAGACTCCTATCTTCAGGGGTGTCCATCCCTCCCCCTCCCCCAAAGTCGATGGCTCATGAACTTCTTCCTCCCTCCCAAGAAGTGTTTTTACCCCCCTCTTATTAAAAACATTACAAGCGGAAGTAAAATTAGAAAAATCGTGGATCATTTACAATTACACTTACAGTAGTCTGGTCCATGTTTTTCTTCTTGTTCCCTGGATTGAAACTTTTTCATTCCGAAAATCCATAAATCTGTCGAAATGTGCCCCCCTCAAAACTTCAGAATCCAGTAAAATGTGCCGCCCTAAAAAATTTTGATGGCTCAACCTGCGTGAAATCCCCTTCGGGGTACCCCTGCGTGTCTTAGACTGGGAAGTAGATAAAACTAAGAGCAGTGGCACTACGCGTTTCATCTCATTCATCGGGTATTGGCACTAGGCTAGACAGAGACATTAAACTGAGAGCGTGAAGGCCGAGTGGGTTAGCGTATGTGTAAATCAATTGTACACGTCAACTTGATAACCGAAGATTAGATGATGAAATAATTTGAGTTCACGTTCCGTTGCCGATGGATCATTTTAAATCTGGCATCAATCCTCCTCCCTCTCTCCTGACCCGAGAAATAACCCATAGAGCCGAAAAGGCGAGGAAGGGGAGGACATGCTATAAATAAATAACCAATTAAGGTTAGTAAAAGTAACAAACATATAATGGAAATTTGATTAACTCTAGTAATATCAAGTACAGGTTATTCGTGGGCGGAGTAGCCGAACTGGCTAATGTGTTCACAGTACCGCCGTTGCCTGACAACCTGATCTATGATACAATGGATTTAAAATTGTCAAGAGTTCGCGTCCCGGTGCCGGAGGAGTCTTTTAAATCCCCGCCCATGCCCCCTGGCCCGGGAAAACCCCGTATAGCCTTAAGGCGAGGAAGGGGAGGATCCAAAAAATAATAATAATAAAAAATAGTATAGGTTATTTGACAACGATCAAAAATGAAGGTTCCTCGCTATGAACCTATCTATTGTACTCTTTATTAATTTATAAAGATTTATTGTAACCTCATTAATTTTTCATTTAAATAAATTTATTTATTTTTTAATTTTACAAGAAATGTTTAATAAGTTCTATTCAAAAAATTTTAGTTAACATTATAAATAACTTTTGAATACATTATTAGCTCTGGGTTCTACTTTCCTTAGTAATGAATTTCATATTTCAAATTATTTTAATTTAGATTTCACATTACACGGTTCCTATAATTCATTTTATGGCAGAACTTCCTCTTTCAGCATTTTAGAAGGCTATTAGAAGATATTTGTTGTCTAGTGCTAATTTTGAAGCAGAATCACAATGATAGCAGAAACATTGTATGACATTTTTCGGAATTTTACCATGATGCACACTAGTTTAAATGTGACAAGAGTAACCAAAAATATAAATATGAAAATTATATAGACTAATATGTGAATACAACAATAATTATTTCTACATTTATAATTATTTGGTGTAATTTTATACACTTCATAAATAGTATTCTTGGGTTACATTATTGGAAATTATATCCAGTATATTAATTTTGTCAATAAAAACGTATATCGTACTTGTATATGTAATAAACTTAATTGTAAAATATAAATATAGATTGTAAAATTAAATAAACAAAATTTATTTGATTTTTGAATGAAAACAAAACCATTGACCACTAACCACTGACTGCCTATTTAGTACTGTCCCAGGCTTGCTTTGAAATTTAAAAAAATAAAGTTTAATCGAACGAAGTTATTACATCATAGGCGTAAAACAGAGATAGTTCCGATATAGGCTTTGATGTACAATCCGTTTTCTAATGATCATTTCAGTTTGTTCTGTTATACTTTTAGATAATCTCTGATAATGGTTCACTGCTCTCCGAAATCATATTTCGAAATTACATTATTTCTTTTCCTGAATCATGCTATAATTGTTTTCCTTGAGCTATCTACTGAAACCATATCACAGAAATAATCAGTGAGGGAAAAACAAGTTTATGTAAATTGTTTAGATTTTATAAAGCTAATCTTTTAACATTAATGGCTAATTTCTATCTTATTTGCAAAAAACTTCAATGAGCGAACCCTTTTTTTATATCAAAAATACTTACACTAAATTAATTTTATAAAAGAAGAAGAAAGATAAGTTTCTTTTTAATTAACTATAAAAAAATATATATGCGTGTGTTTATTTTATAAAATTCTACTTAATAATTTTTTACAGTAAACCCAAGATTTGTTCGGAAATTCTTATTTTACAAGTAAACTTACATCCTAAATTAATTTTCCATTTTTCGTTTCTTTATTTATTTTTTATCGCATCGGTAATGACTCATTTTTTTTTTTTTTGTCTCATATCTGGCTATTATAATACTATTTTTTATTAACTTATCTCTTATGGAATAATTCTAATTCTAATATAAGAAATACTCTACATTAATAATGTACTAATTAATATAATAATTCATTAGCACATATAATATATTGTATTTCTATGGATTTTTTAATTCACTTATGTTACATTTTTTAATGTTTGTTTTTTCATCTTTACTGCCTTTTATTTTACTCACTTACTTGTGTTTTTTCTTTTTCTACAATAGATCTGGTTTTACCAATTTAACATCAATTGATATTTTACTTCTTTGTATCTTATACTAACCGACAATATTTCTTTGTACTTGTTATTTTAACCCTGATGAAAACATACAACGTAGATCGAAACGTTTTCAACAAACGCTACTATTATATATAGTATTGACCGCAGTCCTGACCAAATTCTTAAATACAAGAAGTATAATTTCTATTGGGTCTTATTTTTCATACAAAAGTGAACGAAATATTTACTCCAATGATTATATTTCAATACAAAATTTGTTTTTTTAAAGAGGTTGGTATAACTGTGCGTCATTTCTGTTGTCCTCCCCTCCCATCTTCAGCAGATTGGACTCTTTAGTCTCTTCAGTGACGCTTTGCTGCAATAGGGAGAAGGCTTCAACAGTATGCAGGCTAATGTTTCATTGTTCGTGAATGGCAAAAAATGTGTAGGTATGTATTAACACAGGTTTTAAGTATATTTTTCTTAACGAATCTTATTAATTATGTTTGTTTTGTTTATATAATTATAATTATAATTTAGAATATAATTAGAATTTTTATAAGTTATTTTTTGGCCAAATTGGTATTTTATTTTGTATTAATTCATCTTTGTTATTCTAAGGGGACTTAGTCCCAAAATAAAGTTCTATTTTCTATTCTATTTTATTCTATTCTATATATATATATATATCACAGGAATATATATATATATATATATATATATATATATATATATATATATATATATATATATATATTGTATTATTATTATTTTTCTGTTGTTTTATTTAATTTATTGTATATAAAGAGTGAATCAGTATTACTCATATCCTTAATTGTGACAAAATGTTAAATTGAGTAATATTAATATTTTTAAAAATTAAAGAATTACAGTAAGCTACTAGAAAACATTTTTTTAATTGATAGTACTCATGTTTACTAATCTCACAACTAAAAAGATATAGTCGTATCAAATTCTGTTTACTGAATACTAGTGTAAAAATAAGCTTTCATGAGATACCGCAAATGAGATTTATCTAAACAATATTAAATTGTTGGGTAAGCATGACATTGATTAATCTGTTTTATTGCTCATGCAACTCCTTCAGTAGAGCTATCATCAAAAATATCTTATTTTTTATTAGTCCTACATTGATCTAGATTTTTGATTAGGGTATTTACTTAAAAATCAGAATCGAAAGTTAAAAAAAAAAATCCGACATTCAAATTGCTGCTACCTACATGAATTCATATGGTTATAAATACCTGTGTCGAGTTAAAAATTTCATTTATTTAAATGTATGAATGTAATATTTTAATGTATGAATGACATGATTTTATATTTTAGGAGAATGTAAATGGGTAGTCGTTTAGAATTATTTAAACAATTATCAAGTTTTAATGTTTAATAGAATCTCAAAGAAAAATGAAGTCCAAGGTGTGAAACTGGTTCATCTGTTAAGTTTATGACGTGTTGAAGTCAATTAACGTCTGTCAGTAATCCTTAAAATTTATGTTTAGTTATACGTAATTTGTTCGTTGTTTAATTGAACATTCTGGATCTTAAACAGCCGGCAATTTTAGTGCAGATTCTGTTAGTTTATGCATAACTCATAAAAATATTCAAGGTTAGTAAGGATAGTAAAATTAAAAAAGAACCATTTAATCTTTTTTCAAAATTTTAGTCCTGGATAATGATCGGTTGATCTAAATATAATTTGGACAATACACAAAAATAATCGTAAAAATTATATACAATATTAACTTAAAAATTTTCTTAGGAAAATTAGTTATTATTAACTCCGTATTTTCATTGATGTTTAACATCCTTTATACGAAATGGATGAAGGTCGGAGGACATCCGGTAAGGTGTGACTGAGGTGTGGCTAATTGTTTAGGGCGAAATCTATTGGAGCTCATCAGTAGTCATAACGTCATATCTCCTAAAAAAAGAGATTTATTTCTTAAGCCTCTTTCTATTAAGTAATATTTAAATTTCATTTCATTCAATATGTTTCTAATTCAAATACTTTATTAATAGGCTAAAATTAATTATTCCCATACGCTTTGTAATTTATTTTTTGTATTCCTAACGAGTGGCGGGCTCCCCCGGACAATTAGTAGGTTTGCCCGTCCCTAATTATCATAGATCATAGGTCGAGATTTATGAAGGATAAGTTCGGATCACAAACTTGTATTAACACTGAATCAAATGGCCTCCTAGAGGCAACAACATATTCATTAGACAAAGGGTCTGTCAACAACTAACTAACAAAATTATGAAATTACATTCCTATCATCGGTGTCAATGCTAATTATTGAATATCAAAACATAGAAAATTTTCAATCTGCACTCTAGCGATTTTAATTGTAATTAAATATTTTTAAAAGGTGATTACAAAATCTTCAAACATTCATAAAATCACATAATAATGTGGAAATTAAAACATCCTCGTTGTTTGGTCTGAATTGATAATATTAGTGTGGGAATTTCCAGATTCGATGGTTATTATTTGTAGAGATGATATGATATCTTAATAATCCTCATACAAAATTATATTCCATAATGTAAATAAAAAAATCTGGGAGTTTCTCGACAGTAAGAGGAGTGAGACAAGGAGATGCTTTGCCATGACTCATCTTTAAATTCAGAGCTGTCAGAGAATCAGGAATACAAACAACGAGCGCCTTGTTCAAGAGAACAGTTCAGCTACTAGCGTATGCTGATTCTCGCGTAGACCTGGGCAAAAAGTATTTTAACTATCTTTTTAAAATACATATATTTTGTCTTTTGAAAATACATGAATTTTGTCTTTTTTAAAATACCATGTATTAAAAATACTTACAGGAAAAATATTTTAATAATACAAACTACGAAAAGTTTAAAAAATAAAATACAACTGCAAAATACTTGCATCTAAAGTAAATAAATTGCACTTTATAACTGATTCCTATAAAAATTTATATATATTTTTTTATAAATTAGAATGTTTTATTTTATTTCTTTATTCTAATTATTTTTTGTGCGGAAAGCAGTGATAAAAAGAGGGCACAGTGATATAGTTTTAAAACAATTAAATGAGAAATATATTGCATTCAATTAATATTTTTTAAAGAAGATTTTTTTAGAATTGACCGACAAACAAATAAATTGGCTAAGTAGATATTATTTTCAAATTAACCTTTTTGGCAATAATACCAGTTCCTCAAACAATTGATCATACAACAATTTCATTATTGGTCCTTCCAACAAATTAGAGAATGAAAATAGCCGTTCAACTGGCTGAGAGTTGGACAGGAGAGTGTTATATTTTATAAAAACAATTTTTATCAAACGGTAATTATCCATAATTTGGAAACTTTGCTCAGTTCTTGTAGAAATCTTAAGGTTTCATTTTAAATCCAATTTAATTTAACCAGAGCGTGAATGGTGTTTGTAAACAGAGAGGTGTTTGAATTATTTACCTCCTTTAGGTTTAGTCATTTGCAGGTTCAGTAGGTTTACCAACAATAAACATATTTCAATGAAGAGAGAAGAATAGTTGGTGTGATCAGTCAAATAAGAAGGAAAATAAATGGTAATATTTATTTTGACATTTGCCGACGTTTCGACCTGAAGTTCAGGCCTTCATCAGGGCTAAGAAAAGAACCAGATAACAAGGTATGAGAAACATAAGTAGTGTGGGTAAAAAAAATTAAAGTAAAATGAAGTTGTTAGAATAATGACAATAGTAAGAACTAAGAGATTCTATTGTCTGACTGACTGATTCTATTGACTGAGGGATACTATTGTCATTATTCTAACAACTTCATTTTACTTTAATTTTTTTTTACCCACACTACTTACGTTTCTCATACCTTGTTATCTGGTTCTTTTCTTAGCTCTGATGAAGGCCTGAACTTCAGGTCGAAACGTCGGGAAATGTCAAAATAAATATTATCATTTATTTTGCCTTCTTCTTTGACTGATCACCCCAACTATTCTTCTCTTCATTATTAACGACAGTCAACCATTTACCCACAGTTATAAATATATTTTAATTTCTCTTCTCTGATTATATTAAGTGAGTAGTAAAAAATCGTTAGCTTTAAATATAAATAAAAAAGTCAACATCATTCCATATAGTTTCTTCATTTTTCTTTCAGGGAAATTACGTATATAATAATTTTAAAAACTCTGGTGCGCGCAACACACAATTTTCACTTACCCCTCTACTTTGAATAGAAATTACTTTCTGGCAATGCTGGGCTCTTATAAAATTTTAGTCATTAAGACCATTATAATTACAAAATTATTACAAAAAAGTCTATTTAAATATCGACGGTAGACAATAAAAATTTAGTCACTCCATCTGCTTTTATGAACCACACAACTTTCTTTGCTATTATAAACCACCAATTTCAACATTTTTGAATAATGTCATTTTAGTGGTATTTTTAGTTGAAAAAGTTATCTATGCAGACAGTGAGTAAGTTGATTCCGGAGATGGTGATTGCAGTGTTGAAATATTATTATTTTTTAATAACAATTATACATCTAAAGTATCATTTTACCTTCCTAGTTAAAAATAAAAGGTGATTCCAATTATTGGACTAAACTTTTTTTTTAATCATTAGTAATATGCTAAAACAATTAGCAATACCTAAGTAACACATTCAAAATACAACAATCAAAACAAAAGATATAAGCTTTGAAGCAGAACATATTAAAAAAAAAAAAAGCTATAGACCATATCTTTCCTCCTAATTGTCCGATTTTAACGATTTTTTTTTTTTTGTTTTTTAGTTTTTTAGGAAATTTAAATACCTTTGAAACATCTTATCACAATATCGACAAAAAAGTGTATACTTTTTGGGTTATTCGGAATTTAATTTTACCATCCCTCGTAACTTTTTTCCAGCTTCTTTTCGTTGTTATATAGATAAATTTAAAGGGTGCCGAGAAAATGACTTTAGCGAAGTTTCATTGATACACCGAGTTTAATCAAAATCGTTAGAGCCGTTTTTGAGAAAATTATAAAAATGTGTTTCAGCGTTGATATAAAGTGGCACTTCCAGTTAGCCGATTTTGAGGAAAATATTGCTGTCACATCTAAGGCATATACCTATCTTAAATACGTAATATTAGTTTCGTTCGACTTTTCGTTTTTGAGCTAGACAGCTAACATACAAACACACAGACACACAGACCATTTTTCGGCACTTCATTTCGACTTAGGATACCTCAAAACGTGTATTTCCGTTGAAAACTTAGATTCAAAAATTTTCTCGATCGCAATACTTACCCTTACGTATATATTACATATATACGTAAGTGAAAGTAATAAATAAATAAAAGTAAAAATGCTCTCCTCCCTGAATTGAAATTTCATTTACACTAATTGTAAGTTGTTATTGGATAAAGAATAAAATTATTTTTGTAAAGCATTATACATTTGGAACAGATATGT